CTGATATAGTAGAGAGAGAGAGAGACAGAAGCACACACACACACACCCACTCACACCCCACACCGGCTATAACTGCAGCTCTGAGCTGACTGGAGAGGAGAGTGCCTGAAGCTGAAGGGATGCTTTGAACTTAGAGGGGCTACATCACGGTTAGATTCCCCCTTACAGAGAACTCGATTATGTCCAGTGACCACGTGAACAACAGCACACTGAAGGAGGCTCAGTTTAAAGACCTGTTCTTAAAAAAAGGTACATTTCCAAAGGTCAGCTATGGACCATGCATGTTCTTTGGGGTTTGTTGTAGTTACTCTTGGAGTTGTTCTGAAGACAGAGTTGGGAAGAGTAGAAGCTCTATCTCAAGAATTTTGTTTCTACCTAAGAGGAGACTCTTGTAACTCAGTACATTTTAGGTGGGACTCTTTATGGAGATGTATTTCAGGCTCTTTCCATCTTTTTTCAAGTCTGTTATTAGTTTGTTTATTTGAAAATATGCATAAATACACAGGTTTGTTGCTTTGAAGTTGTTTTATTTTTCTCTCTTCTCCCTTTCCCCAATGCTTGTATATGAGGCTAAAGTCTCCCCTGGCAATTCTATTACTTGCAGATGGGTACTTTCTTTTTTTAACCTGATTTTGTTGAAAACAGCATTTTAAAGAAATGAAGACAAATGAGGGGACTTCAGAAAGTTCATGGGAAATGGAATTAAAGTACAAGTTTATTTTGGTACAAAAAACATTGAAATTTACACATCTTTTTCATAATACACATTTTCCATGAACTTTTTAAAGCCTCCCCCCACACCCCCCGCATTTCTGAGGATGTGGGTGGTTCATTGGTGAGCCTCTCGGTTCTCAATGTAGTAACAATAGATATTAGGAAAGGGAACTGCGACTTCAAGGAAGGCAGAGAGCCAAAGAAAGTGAGAGACAGACTGCTACCCAGGGCGCACTCGGGAACTGCTGCTCTTAACTGTGAAGGAGATGGTTACACGTGCAGCTGTATTTTTTTCTGATACACTTTCCTAAATTAATACTGTGGAGGTGGGGATGAGGGTGGATTTCAAATTAATCCTATAGGTGGAATTATGCTTTTATGTATGTATTCTTTCCATTTATAGCACCATAGAGGGGTAGAGTTTTAAAGGGTTTGTAATTGCTCTTACTCCTCTGCTGTTTTTTAACAAAATTCGTCAGTCATCTTTGAACATATTTAGGTAAATTTCTTCCTGAAGAGATCATGAAACCCTACATTCTAAAATCCATGGCGAAAAGTGGTTGTACAGAATGAAGGCTTGAGCCTTAGTGGATTAAAAAGATATTACTCTAACTGGATGGACTCACAAGGTCTGCATTTTAGGGATTCCTCAGTCAATTTTAGTGTCACTACTGCTACCTGCCTGACAGTGCCATAGGAGGAACTTGTATTTGGTCTTGGGCTAGAGTCAAGGGGATGTCCCTGGGCCACCTGGCCCTAGGTTCTAATCTCTTCATCTGTAGAAAAGAGATATAACCTCTCAACTTTGTTATCATGCAAAATACTTCACAGATATACATGAATATAATAGTATAGAAACAGATAACTTATAGCAACCATGAGGCTCTTTTTCTGATAACATTTTACATCTTCTTAGAGTAGAAATCGTTACGTAATTGTGGCAAAATATGAAAATGTTTAAAACTTCAGCACCATTGAAGTAATTGGCAGGTGTTTAGCAGAATGTGGTTCTGTGCTAGACACTGTTCAAAGTAGGTTGAGCAGTGAGTCCCTTCCCTCTAAGGGCTTCTCAGTCAGCTTATGTATAATGAAGACCAAATTTGTGCAAGGCACCTGCTACCACTATAAATATTGTCCCAGGGCTCACTCTATATGGGAAGAAGACCAGAAAATGGGCACTAACAAGACACTATAAGTGCCACAGCAGGGTTCAAGTGCACACAAGGAACCCTCTGAGGGTAGTGAGCTCATTATCAAGGGGTTAGAAAAAAGCTTAAAAAGGAAGATAAAGTCAGCAGGTGATTGTACATCTTGATCAATCTGTGGGGTGGCTTGTTTTTTCATTTCTGTTATTTTTTGTAGGATAAATTGGAGTAGCCAACCCACCCCTCAAAAAATAAAATTCAAAATACGTAATGCAATCAGTACAATTACAGCTCTTATTGTTTTACCTTCTGAACTTCAAGCTGTGAAGTCATCTTGTAACTGAATTTTCCTTTCAACCATGATATTTCATGAGTGTGAATTTTCATTCAGCCATTAGAATCTGTGAGAGTATTTTTATACTAACAGTACACAAACTTGAGGCAATTATAGTCTCAATAGATTCCAACTCCTGCCCCCACCCATCTTCCTGCCCCCACCACCGCCCAGTCTCTGTAGGATTTTGGAAAGAATTTACCAGCCTTTAGGAACATTCAGCACTTTAAAAGTGTTACCGAGCCATAAATAAAGAGTAAGACACCCCCAAGGCTGTCATCTTATCACCACACTCGTTTCTGCTGAGGCGGATAGAAACAGGAAGGAAATGCAGACAAAAGTTCACTGTACAGAAGCCAAACAAGAGCAATCAAATGTTGGTAGGTCAGCTTCTATGCGTGAGACAGGGCAAGATAGAAGAGTTTTCTGGGAAAAAAAAGGAGCTGCCTGGAGGGAAAGACTGTGGCAGGCTTGCTATGGCCTCAGTGTTCTAGTAGGTTCCAGTCTGCAGGGAGTGAGGTGAGGTACTGCTGTTGCTAAGAGTGGGAGGAGAACCACTCAGAGTGGTGTGCAGGGATTTGTGGCCAGTGGCTAGCCCATAGTGACATTACAGTGGCAAATTTTCTGAATATTGCCAAGATGTTTACTTGGCCTGGTAAGGGGAAGGGCCAACTGAGAAGCCCAAAGTGGGCTCCCTGCCTCATTATAGAGACTGTTGGCATACATTTCATATGTGCAACTTAAAAATAATATAAACATTTAGAAAACAGGACTTTTATGAAAGATGATATATTAACGGAGAAAAGACCAAATGGAAGATGGTGTTAGCCATCTCACAAATAGAAGTGAGTGTTATATTAGGAACTAAGGTGGTAGAACCACTCTTCCCCAGAGCTCTTTAAAAATAGCACAGACACTCATGCCTCTAGTATGATTCAGTTCAGTTCCTCATTGAACCGGGGAATAGACCAACAGACTTCGCACTATTTCTTCTGTTCTTGTAATTCACTATGCAGCTTGGAATTTCCTGGAGATGTTTCTATAAAAATAGACACCATCATCACTACATCACTATCACTGTTTTACAATAATGAAATAAGGTGCTATGATGCCTTCCTGTACATTTTAGATCGGAATTTATTATAAAATTTCTGATGTTTGGATCACAGTGACTCATGTGGTATAGCATCATGAACTACAGCCCCATAAGAAGAGGAGCAAGGTGAACATTTGACTTTGGCCTTGAATTCTTACCCTGCATGGCCTGCTTTTTGGCATTCTTCTGTTGACATAAATAGATATTGAAATCAAGGAGAACTGACCAGAGGCTGTGTTCCGATTCTGTATTGGGTGCATGAAATTTGGGTATCCCACAACACTCTTACTTCTCAGGATACTACTATTGCTGTGGGTTTGGTTTGGTTTTGTTTTTTGTCTCTCAGTTTTAACAGTTCTACCAGAATTCATTCCCTTCTTAACCAGCCCACACCTCTATAACCAAAACCAAAACCGCTAGTCCCTTTCCTTTCAGTATGCACCTGCCTCCTGACACCATTGCACACTCTTCCCCTCCTACCACAGGAAAGCAGGAGGAGGGATTTGTAGTCGAATTCTGTTTAGAATGAATGACGGGCCGAACAGTGGCACAGTGGTGAAGTGCAGTGCTCTGCAGGGCTGACCCACACAGGAGGGTTCCAGATTCATATCTGGAGACTTCTCTAAATAGGCTGGAACTCATATGTCTGTGGTTCAGGGCTGGCTAGTGCTGGATGGATCATGGCACTGGAACGCTGTCAGGAGGTCTGTCTGTTATTATCTCTCTGTCTCTCTCTTGTTTGCTCATGGACATAAATAAAATAAAATAGTTAAGAGGGTGTGGGGATACAGGTGCGTGCAGGCGTTCTTCACACACTTTCTTATGAGCTTGAAATGAGCCTGGAGAGGAGAGGTTAGCTGCAGTGCAGGGTCTAGAGCCCAGGGTCTAGAAATGATCATGTCTGTCCTTAAGAACCTTCTCTCCATTAACTATAGTTTTTGCTTTGAGAATCTGCTGGTCTCCTCTTGGGATAGTATTTGTAGCTAAAGAAGAAAGTAAAGCCTTTATATTTCCTAGTTGTAAGTGTTCTATTTCCTGTGATTTCAAAATGAGATAGTCTGTTTTCACTAATGGCTTTGCCCAGAATTCAGAGTGAGGGTCTACTGCAACTGGCTGTGGGCTCACACTCGGAGTCCCTGACAACAGCACGGGGGCACTCAGGGAGCACCAGGCAACACTAAGATGCAGTCAGGGACTGAATTGCTGCAGTGGTACACCACAATGCAGTTATTAGGAGGGGACATGGATGTCCTTCTTGCCTATGGAGGTCTTGTAGGGCCAACAGAATATATTTTTAAAAGGTTTATGAAACACATTAGGCCAAGCACCAGAAGTCAGTTGACAAGAGTCCCTTTCAGGTCTCCCTTTCTTCTGGAGGTTCTTACAAAGTCGAAGTCCAGAGTGGCCCTGGGCTTCAGGCCTGAGTCTAGTGTCTCTGTAGCCAGAAGCACAGGCTTCAAAATCTCATAGACCCAGATTTGACTCCCAGCTGTCACACACAAGCTTCATAACTGCGTCTCAGTTTTTTTTTCTTTTCTAAAGTGGGGTGTTAGCGTTTATCTTATGAGCTCCTTGTGAAGACCAGATGTGTATGAGGCCTCCACTGCCTGTGGCTGTAACGATCGCAGTACCTGAAGGAGACGGGTGTGTGGAGAACTGGGTGAGGGCGCAGAGGGGCCAGTGGCTAATGGACTTTCCTCTCCCCCTACAGCGGAACTGGAGTTCGCCCAGATCATCATCATTGTGGTGGTGGTCACGGTGATGGTCGTGGTCATCGTCTGCCTGCTGAATCACTACAAAGTCTCCACACGGTCCTTCATCAACCGCCCGAGCCAGAGCAGGAGGCAGGAGGACAGGCTGCAGCCAGTGAGTGTGGGCCTGGGTCACCCCTCGGGATGATGCAGGGGCCTTTTTCTTGGGTTCCTTCAGAAGTCAGGCCAGGCATGGTGAGGGCCAGGAAGCAGGACAGCCTTTCATGTCAGTGCACTGCAATTCAGAGACTTTGTTTTGACAGTTAACATACAGGAAAGCACACACAAAGTGAATGCTCACAAACTCATCAGTACCGATCAATAGGGACATGCGAGCTCCCCAGGAGCTCACTCAGTTCCCCCTTTCAGTCACTCCCCCTGCAAGGATCTCCACTGCCATGATGTTGCCTATCAGCACAGATTAGCTTTGCTCCCTTTTGACCTTGATGTCGATGGTTCAGACCATAGGTACTCTCTTGTATCTGCCTTCACTCACTCAACCTGAGATCGGTGAGGCCCGTCCATGTTCTATAGAGAGCTGTTCTTCAGTTTGGTCCTGGAGGTGTTTCTGTGAGAAATAATGCGCTCACGTGTCACTGTGTGTGCCAGCATGTTGGGCATGGGTAAGCAAGAGGGGACAGCAAGGATGTGGGTGCCTTTCCAGGTGGTGCAGGGTGGGCTGGTCATATAGGGGTGCTCCCAGAGCAGCTGCAGCTGTGGCAAGGCTCCTCGAATTGGAGATTTTTTTTTTTTTTTTTTTTTTTTTTAGGTATTTAGCTATTTCCTGCCCCAAATGACTTTCCTACCTTGGAAAATAAAATACTTATATCCAGAGAAACTTTTCTACAGTCAAACTTGGGAGACCAGGGTCTACTAGAACTTTCTGTTCCAAGCTTGTTTCACAGCCTGTGATCCTTACTGCTTTCAACGAAAGGCAAGAATAAATTCTCAGCTTCTGGTGGACAAAGAAGGCAGAATACCCCACAATGTGCAATCCCCTCCAGTTTGCTGGCAGAAAGAGGGGCACCTTTTACAGGGTATTCCTTTTACCAGGGCTGACTTAGGAGACTACCTTGGATGTAGAGTGCAGCTGCCCTAGTGGGTACCATGGAGTGGTAGCTGGATCCAGAGCCCAGGACTGTTGTCAGGACAGGGCCATACTTAACAGGGATAGCCGAGTACCTGGGGGAGCCACTGGCTTCACCATCCCCATGGGTGGCACAAAGGCTGCTCTTGTGTCCCACAGCCCAAGGCAGGCAGAGGGGAGAGGGAAAGGGTGAGTGCCACTGTGTGCCGTCCCTTGTGGAGAGGGAACAGATGCCTTGTGAGGGCCTCCCGCGCCCCAGCACTCCTCATCTATGAACGGCAGGTCTCCACACGGCCCCCTCCCTATTGTCTCCTGAGAGTTGTGTTGCTTCCTTCTTCACCTCTCCTGGTCCCCAGCCTAGCCCATAAGCCCCTCTGGCCCTGTTACACTGTGTGAAACCATTGGCCATGCCCTTTGTCATCTAGACAGTCTGGGACGCACAGGGCCACACCATCCAGACTCACCAAATGCTTTGGTGTACTAATGCCTGTAGATATTAAACAAGGCCAGCTCTGTTATTAGAAGCTAACTAATTCTTACATTCTCAACATAAAATACTGACATTTCCCTGAGTTTAAAGAGAAGACAGGGAGAAAACCTTGTCCAAATAGCAGTTTCAGAGCTATTGTACAAAAGGATTGATATCAGGGCTTTGCCTTAATGCAAGGTGGTGTGCGCCTTGGTGGAAGTAGGGACAACTTTCCCTCATGTTGTCATCAGCAACAGCTCTCAGGCTCCCATAAAGACATGCCGTGAGTTTACCCAAGCTCCCTATCTTGCACTTCCTGCTCCAGGAGCTGCAGAATGTTTTGGGAGTCCCTGCATGCAAGGCAGAGAAACTTTCCTATCCCCTGCCTGGTCCCTTTCCTCAGACTTGCCAAGGGCATTCTTCTTTAGCCTTTGCATGATCACGTGACCCCTTCCTTTGCTCCTCAGTGCAATACAGCCCCTCCTTGCTGTCACTGTCCCCAGTGCAGTACAAGCCTCCTCTTGCTGTCACTGTCATCAGTGCAGATCCGGCCCTTTGCTGTCACCATCCTGACCATATTACACACCAGCTGTTCTCTCACCAACCAAGAGGTGCAACAGAAAGACACTTTTAAAATAGCAGAAAACCAAAAAATTAGAGTATGTATTTTCACTTGGAAATTGTCTTCTGTTTTCTTGGTGGGGATTGCCTTAAGGACTTCTCAGAGGAAGCAACTGGGCTACTGGACAGGAGGCATTGGCTGGCTGACCAGCAGGGCTCCCGTTTTTGAAATCGGGAAGATGAGTATAGTGACTTTCAGAGATCCCCTCAGAGTCACACACCGGACGGCAAAGGGGAATGATCAATAGCTAGCAAATTATGACCACAGAGGGTTTTTTCATCTGCCTAATTTGTGAATAAGCACTTGAAAGTTTTTCCAGTGCAAGCCAGATTCTAATGCTTGCAGAGATGGGACTTGCAGAGATGCAGACTGCACACAGCATCAACTTTCATTCCTTAGCAACCGTGCTGTTTTCCTTTTCTCTGAGTGACCCAGAACTGAGTGCTGTCAGTCCTTAAGGCTTAGATATTCCTCCTCAAAGAATGGCCCTGCAGGGACCAGCAGTTGGTGTAATGGCTGTGTCATTGACTCCCACGTAGTCAACCGCGGTTCAAGTCCCAGACCTGGTGGCTTAAACTCATGTCAGACATGTGTGCATGTGTGCCTAAGATCCTGAGAGGAGAATGGAGGAGAAGGGATTGCAGCGTGGCCATCCCCCCTGGGTGGTGATTTCTTGCTTTCTATCTCTCTGTCTCTCTCTGTCTTTCTGGTGAGTGCACGCGCCCTATAGCAAAAATCTCTAAAATAAATAAATAAATAAATAAATAAATAAATAAATAAAAGAATGGACCTGCGGTTGTTGCACAGCTTAGCAAGGATTTCATAAACTCTAGATGCTTTTCAATGTACTGATCAGAGGTGACTTCAGTCCTGACCTTAGCACCACTTCCTAAGACTACTAGCCTAGTTAATAGTTCCAAGGAAAGGAAGAGAGTGAATGAGGAAGAAAGCCCCTTCTCTCCTGGACACAGACACCCACCTAGATAATACCGTGAGTGTGACCACACCTTCCACTATGTCCCTGACCCCCTCCCTGAAGGTACCCTCTCAGACCTCTCCACCCAGGAATGCTTGCCTATACCCTAGTGAGGCTTCCTGCCTCCTAGTTGACTGCGTCTCCTCCCTAACACCTTGTAAGAAATGCCCATTCCTTGTATACAGTATCAAGAGAGCAGCCTTAACACCTGTCATTCTCAGCCAGGGGAGATTTTACTCCCTTGGGACATTTGACAAAGTCTAAGGCATTTGGAGTTGTCACAACCAGGATGGAGTGCTGCATGGATGCTCTAAATGTACAATGCACAGAGCAGCCCCCACAACAAAGAATGCCCTGGTCCCAAATGTGTGTGGTGCAGAAGTGGAGTACCTGACCCCACAGGTGCTGTGCTGCCCTGCCCAGGGGTGCTTTGCTGATGGGAGAGGCTCCCTGTGAGGGTGAGTGGATCCTCTGGCTGGCTCTGAGGCATCCACAGAGTCAGTAAACACTTCCTGGGTCCCCCGGGTGCTATGTGTTGTACTGCATGGAAGCAAGGTGATTGGTGAAGATGAGTGTGTGTTTGAGACTCTCCATATATGTCTGTCCACATGCTCTTGCTTCTATTCTCGGAGCACCCATGATCTTCTGCAGTTCTCTTACCTGTCATCTTAGATCCAGTATCATGCTCTCCCAAGCATCCTGCACACCTGGTGGCCTGCTAGTTGGCAGCTTGTGGGTGTGGGATGTTCCTACTGGTCTTTCCATGGGGAATGCCTCATCATTCCAAGTCTGTGCATTGCTGGGACCAATTCGCATCTGGGAGCATTTGGCCCATGTTACAGAGTCCCGTGAAGTCTCTGTGAGCATGTTAGGAAAAGCTGAATGTATTTTAAACTGATGTGAGAAGAGCTGGGCGTCTAATTTGTCAACTCTTAGGTGATTTGGTTTAACACTATCGGTTAAATTTATGTGTATGCATTTCTGCCAGAAGACTTGATAGTCAAGATGGAAAAATAACATTTCAATGGCTGGGTTCATTTTTGAGAAGGAGGCTGAATACATAGCTATTCTTATTTGGTTAAGGAAGCTTAACTACGTGATGTGAGCTGCCCCTCTCCTCATGAATAAACTCTCCACTTCGAACGAAGAGAAAAGCCAGACTGAGGTTCATAAGATAGGATCTCAGTAGCTCTGAATATCCTTGGTTCTGGAACAGAGTCCTCTTCTGAAAAATGGCAGCCGGGCCAGCTTCTCTCTACAGTCCTTCTCTGCCAAAGTGTCCAGCAAGATTCCCTGGGGTTTGCAGGTGAGGAGCCCCGGCCTGTTCTTTCTCATGTTGCCACCTCCTTCTCGATCCCTTTGCTTTCTGTTTGGAACAGTGCACATTGAGAGACCTGATGGGCATCACTGAGGCCCGTCTGCCTTCATCACAATTCTGTGAGACACCACGTGTTCCAGGGGAACCCAGGCATGAGATGATACTGGCCCCGAATTTGGTGGAAGCAGCCATTTCTGGATGAAAATGAAAAATAGCAATCAGGCTTAAATTAAATGACAAGAAAAGTATATGTTTAAATAATGGCAAACAACAGCAGGAGGCAATGGTATGATATAAATTCTTGTGTTCTTTTTGAGGTAGTCTCAGCTTGGGTTTTAGAGCCTGTTTTATGTAATTTTAGAGCTTTAAGACCATCTAAATTTATTTTCATTATCTTAGGCTGCCAAGTAATAGGGAAACAATAAAAGGACATAAATATTCCAAACATAGCCCTGAGAGATGTTTGCACAAGTGGCTGGAACCTTTCTTGCCAGAGCCAGAGGAGGCCTGTGTGGCTTTTCCTGACAGTCTGCTGCCCCGCCCTGCAGGTCCACCTGAAACAGGGGACAGCCTTGGTGCAGTGGGCTGCTGGCCTGCAGATGAGCCCATCCACCTACTGAGGAGCAGAAGGACAGCAATCTTC